AGCCCCGCTTTCAGCGGCCGATTCCGCTCGCAGCGGGCGCTTCTCCCGCCGTGATGCTTTCCCAGCCCGAGAGACAGCGAGCTCCGGCTGAGGAGGAAAGTTTCGCTTCGGTAGCCAGGTGTTTTGGGGAAAGGGAGTTGCTGCCTGCCTGACGCTTCCTAAAGCTGTGGGTGAGAGTGGATTTGCAGCCGCGCGCTGAAGCGTTAATGGCTGGAATTAACAGGTCGTTCATGAGGACCAAAATGCTTAAATAATCTACAAAGCCTATCTGCGGTCTAATTTACACCACAGAGATTGCACTTATTGCAGCAGTTGCTCTGAATACACATAAATGTTAGTGATCTCAGAATCGCACCCCAGTATGTTTTCATTGCCTTCCCCCCCTTGTATAATCACATGAAATTCATTCATTCATTCATTCAAGATGAGAGGCTCTAATTTGCCAGCCCAGCTGCTGCACAGCTCTGTCTGTAGCGAGTGTGACTGCCGTGAGACCTCTCAGAGCGAGGTGTGCCTTCAGGAGTGCCACAAGTGACTGGCTCTGATCTCGGCTGTGTTGGCGGAGATCGGTTCAGTGAAGCTCCGGTAGCCTAAAACTGGTGATGGTAGGGACTTCTTTACAGTCCTTGAGATAAAAGAAGGATAGCGCAGAGGAGAATCAAGCTCTTAAGTGAAAGCGTCTGTTTTGTTTATTTTATAAGACACATATGTAGCCTGAACTGAGGTCACTTTTCTTTGGGGAAATACTTTTTGGGTGATGGTAAAATGAGATACTTAACACCTGGTGATTGCCATTACATCTTTCCATATAAGATAATATTCTGAATGTTTCCTCAGATACAGTGCATGTTATACAAGAATCTAGAGATAAATGAATGCTGATTCATGTAAATATAGAGCCAAGTCTGGAACAGGGAAATTCTGACTAGTTTGACAAAAAATGCTTTCTTTTCAACTTATTAACATGCAGATATGGTACACTATGACTTTTTTTATACTTTGAAACGTCTGCTAGTCTACTACAATTGAAGTTTTACAATGTTGCCAGTATTTGCATTCTGCTTAGAAATACTTAAAATACTGTAAAGAAAATGAATTATATGAGCCACTCAGTCTTCCAGATCACCAAAAAAAGTGTGATTGATATACTATCTGCCAGCAGTTTTGTGTATGTTGTTTTACAAGTGATACAGATTTATAGAACGCTTGACACAGTAGTTTCTGGGTGATACATTTCATTAGCTCCCTCCTGCAGAGAACATTACAGTTTCAGTTTGAAAATAGTCTGTATAAAATACAAAGTGCTAAGAAAGTTCCTAAGCTTCCATCTACTAAGCTTTATTAAGCACATAGTAGATTATGCCGTTTTAGTGAACACTGGAACAACAAAGTACCAGTGGAACATGCTAATCATATACTACCTCTTTCTTGCTGCTGCAATTCGTCTAAACATCTGAATTATAAACTGTCAAAGTGTAGTTTATTTTCAGTGTAGAAGAATGACTTGCATGCTAAGTGTAGGAATGGGAAAGGATCACACCACACAAATGACTATTTTGCTTGATAAAAAAACTTATTTAAGATTGTATTACAGAAATATGTTTTGAATTAACGTTTTTCAAGGATATATTTTGATATACAATACATTAAAAGACTTCTTAGTAGAAGAAAATGGCTTTATTACAGTTTTACTTGCAACAATCAAACCCAAAGAAGTACATGCTGAATCGCTCCATTATTTATCTAGTTTCTTACAAAACCAATTTCTCAGAGTCGATAGTTTTCCTGTGCTAAATATTTAGTTTGTTATGAAGGTTAGTTTATGTGAGTAGTTTATAGCCAATATTCTAATGCCTTGTCTTTTTATTTTTAAATATGTAGAAAGTATTTACACGCTTGTAAAGCATGCAGGTAAGTTAAGGAAAGTGTCCAAGAAAACAGTAAAGGTAGTGCTAAATAACAGACTTTATAGGAGAGACTGTCAGGCACAAAACTTCTGTTACCGCTTTCCTATGGGTACTTGCCAGCTTGTTGCTGAGTGACATTTATATAGTTGTGTTCATGCTTTTGCATAATAGTGGAGACGTTAAGACTTATTTGCATAGACAATATGTAGACTTTTCACATCTCAAACATTGACAGTGGAGCATTTCTCAGTTTATCAGGCAAAACACACGAGCATTTTTAACACCCAAACTACGTGGAGCTCTTGTTCAGCACGTTGTTTAGAGAGAAATGTGAAACAGTTGCAGATAAAGGGTTTTGATGTGGTGTATATCAGATTGTTTCATAATTCAGCTGTACATGCAAAATAGAACCAGTGGCATATTGACGTGACTGTGATAGGGAGACTAGTTGAAATCTCTAAGGCTTCCTTTATTTACTCATTGACAGTTCCCTTTGTTCTAAGGAGACATTAGAAGGTGTATAAAGTTTTAGAACAAATAAGTGGACACAGCAGAACATACCTGCTCTAAGTTACTGGAGATGAGAGCGATACTAATTTCCCATTAGTGTAATTAGAATTGGTAATTGATACTTTCGTATATCTACAATACAGCAGTCAGGAAATAAAGTCTCTACTTAGGTGACCGACTGGTGTACCCCAGTGAATGCAAGTTGTTTTCATCCTAATTATTTGATACTTCCTTTTTAAGGTAATGCATTGAATTTCTTATATGAGTTCCCAAATGCATCTTGTTTGATACAGTACTGTATAGGAGAACTTCAGTGGAGAAAACTACAAACAATTTGTAACTCTCTTTCTTGCCATCAGGTGTTTTATACAAAGTTTAAAACTAAATTCTGCATTCAGTAGACTTCTGACATTTCACTGTCACTTTTTAGAAGATCTTTCACAAGTTTGACTCCTATTCTTGTCTTATTTAGCATGGTATTACTCTGAAATATTCTTTTAGCCTCCTATTTATCAATTCTCTCTTATTCAGTAAAGCACTAACATATCTACTTAACAAATGTTTAAAACACTTAGTATTCCATAGGTCTTAATCACTTGCCAAAAGTCAAAGCTGTACAGAAGTGTTTTGCTGAACGGGGATGAGTTTAAGCAAGTGCTTTTCTGGATCACAGATTTAAAATCCGAACCCTCCAGGTGCTGCACGTTGCCTGTGAGGAGCATGGATACCACTAACTTCCAGCAAAGACAGCCAAAGATAGGGAAAGCTCAGTGCCTAAAAGGAATCACTCAGCAGCTTGGAGGATTGCGTCCTTAATCATAATTCTAATCATAGATTTTAATTGTAAACAATTGTTCATTTTCTCATGTTAGTTACGGTATATCTTTATAATATATGTTGTTTTCTCTACTTTGTTTCACAGTGCAATATAGTGGCATATGAGCAGGATTATTTCACTGAAAATTTAATCATGAATATAAGATTAGCACGTTAACAACCACTGTTTGAAGAACAGGCCTTTTAAACCCTGTTTATATGTTTAAATTTTTTGGCCATTATATTCTCTTGGTTTCTTTTTTACTTGCTCTGCTCAACAAACAATGATTATTGACTACTTAAAACACCACACTAGTTGTGGTGGTGTTGGGTTGTTTGTTTGTTTGTTTGTTTTAAGAGATACTGGTCACCATCTGTAGAGTTAGCAGAACAAGTACAGGAACTTCTAAGCAGCATTATTTCTTTGCTTGGGGTGTTGGCTTCCTGGCCAATTCTGTAATCCTTTATGAATTATTCTTATGCCTGTTTTCATTGGACATGTACTGTTTAGTGAAGAAAAATGTTTGTCATACCAGAGTGTGCTGACACACTAGTCAAAATTAGATGCATATCCTGTAAAGTCTTACTTCCATGAAAGTGAAATAAGTAGAAAATAATTTTTGAAAAAAATCTTTGTATGGTAGCCAGTTAATTTGTTTCCTAACATTTCAAACGTTAATCAGTCTGTTGCAATGTAGAAGCATTTTGACTAGTTGGTTATCATGTATGTGAATTGTATCTATAAACTAAATGAGTCAATTTCCTCATAAATATGCACATAGAACCAGCGGCCTTAATAGGACCCAAAATTCATCCATTAAGGGGGCAATCAGTTTAACCATGCAGGAAAGCATCACCTTTTTTCTTGCTTATGTATAGACACACACATAGGCTTATCTCAAAGACTGCTTTTTATAATCTTAAAGAAACTCTCAAGAATAAAGTTTTTCACAACTTTCAGCTAAGCAAATGTCCTACAGTATAATAGTCATAAAAATAACAATGTTATGGTAACACTAAGTGCAATGTAGAGAAAAAATGGGAACATTGTCATTAAGTATGAACATTTACATTG